CGGAGCAGAAGCATCTCGCCGCACCGCGCTGGATAATCACCTGCGCCAGGTAAGTCCAGGGGACCCGCTCCCGGGGCAGGCAGCGTCTGTGACCGCCAGCGCGGCGGGGGCGGCCCGCCTTCTCTCGTCTTCCCCGTCTCGCCCAGGGCCCGAAAGCGCCCCGTCCCAGGCGGCCCTGACTTGGGGGCCCGCCCTGCCTTCTCCTTGCTCCTCGATCATTCTTAGCATAATGAAGTACAGGCGGCTGCAAAAGCAGCAGAATGGTCAGGATTTGAATTGCTGGTTTGTGGGAAGAAAACTGGGCTGGGAACTTCCAAGAGGGCGGTGGGGTGTATGCCACCCCGGAGACTGAGAATATGCTGCGTTCAGCTAAGAGTGCTGGCTTGCTTGTCTTCCCCCACTGCTTGCCCTAAGAGCCCAGAGCCATGAGACTTGGAGCCTAGTTAAAAAAAAAAAATCCTCCCCCACCTATTTCTTGCACTGCTCTGCCGTACCAGTGAAAGTGCTGGAAGGAGAAACCTGTTTCTGAACATGACAAAGCAAATATTCTCACTTCTTATGACGCAACAGAATTCTAGATTTTAATGCAGAATACACCACAGCTGTCAAAAGGATTGCACTGGAAGCCCAGCTCACAAACCTATACATCCAGGATGTATTTCCTGAATAGTCATTAGGGGATGAGATGGTTTATAATTAGACTGTAGCATAAAACCCCTATAGTCTTACAGTAGGTCAGTGGTAGATCTTACACATGAATTTAAAGATGATTGCAGAAGGAAAGCATTTTTAAGAGCTGATATTATCTCATTGCATTGAGGTGGGGGGGCGGGAGGGGGGATAGGGAGAATCACATTCTTTTTGCATAACTTAAATTAGCCAAAAGAAGGTACAGTATGCCTCTAGTACTTAGAGCTAGGTGAAAAAGTGTTGTTAATCAAATGAGCTTGACCCCTTGTGCATTAGAATAATTCAAACGGGCTTGAAAATATTCTTATTTATGATGTGAACATAACATCTAACCTGAGTCATATAGTGTTATTTTCAGATGAACCAATTTGCCAAAATCTATGGAAACTTGCTCAGTACCTTTTTGACTGGAGCTTTCTAAATCAGATGCACCCTTTCATTATGAATAGCAAGATCTGTACTAGTGTATGAAAATCCTCTTTCATGCATGAATATCTGCTGGGGGGGAGGGGGGTGAAAGTATATTTTGAATAATTGTGTAATTTAAAATCCTCTCTTGCAGAGAGGTTTGTTGGGAAAAATGAAAGAATCTGGCCAAATCCAAACAATCCAGAATTCTCAAGAATGGTTGAATGACTTATGCTAATTCCTTAGCTCCAACTGAACGACAGTTTGTTTTTTGTATTGCATTGAATAATTAGGACACTGTATGAAGTCAAGCATGTGGAGCTCCTTAGGAAGCTCTCTTCCAATGTATACCTGATGTAGCAAACAACCTAACATGCTGTCTCCCCACTCAATTTCAGAATGATACAGATCTTGGACCCAAGACATTTGCCCACCTCTATGATGCCTGTTGATGTGGCCATGAGAATATGCTTAGCCCATTCTCCACCTCTGAAGAGTTTTCTCAGTCCCCTTGATGACTGTCAAAGAAACAACTTTGTTAACAGATTCAAGCCTCTAAGGCCGTGTCTCAATTTGAAACGAGAATCTGAGTCTCAGAGTAACGACTGGAACCGTTCACCGAGCCGAGCCAAAAAACGAGTTGTGTTTGCGGACTCAAAAGGGCTTTCTTTGACCGCAATACACGTCTTCTCTGAATTCCAGGAGCATCCTGTATGGGATCTTCAGTTCAGCTTGTTAGATCTTGAGGACATAACAGCCAGTTTAAAACTACATGAAGAGAAAAACTTGATTCTGGGTTTCTCTCAGCCTTCAGCTGACTATTTAGACTTTCGGAATCGGTTGCAAAAGAATTTTGTCTGCCTCGAAAATTGTACACTGCAAGAAAGGGCAGTATCGGGGACAGTGAAAGTGAAAAATGTCAGCTTTGAGAAAATGGTTCAGGTTCGGATTACCTTTGATACATGGAAAAGTTACACCAATGTTGACTGCGTCTACATGAACAATGTGTATGGAGACTCCGATAGTGATACCTTCTCATTTGCCATTGACCTGCCTACAGCCATTCCCATTCAAGAGAAGACTGAATTTTGCATTTCTTACCAAAGTGGAGAGCACATCTTCTGGGACAATAACGAGGGTCAGAACTATAAAATTCTCCATGCAGAATGGAAACCTGATGGTGTCCAAGTACCAGCATCTACCAAAAAAGACCGTGCCATTGACAACATTCCAAGGAAAACACAGGAAAATGAAGCTGAGCGGCTTGGAAGTCCAAGGATGTCCAATGGTCTCTTTCCTGCGTGGCAGAGTTGGGGCAGGATTGAAAACTCAGCCCCATATTGGTGATAAGTTACAAGCCAATGAACA